TCAATTATTTTCAATTAACTTGAAGCGAACCTATTCATTCATCAAAAAATTACATAACAAAAAAAAAAAAGAACAAAAAGTTGAAATCCTCGTCAGAGCTGTTCACTTTAAAGCGTTTAAATTTGATACGGAAGAAGTTTGTAGATTCTTGCATGTAAATGGAGAATACAAATCTGACAATGTGTCAAATTATATTCAGTGTTTGTATAGATGTTGGCTGATATGGAAACAGAGGAAAAATTTGTCATCATTTGTCAAAGTCAACAGGTGCACTTATTGTTGCTTGACAATTATTTTTACTTTTCGGCACTCAGTGCGGATAAGGCCTGTATCCGCACTGAGTGCGGAAAAGTGTAACTTTGAGAACTGAAATGCGTGCGGAAAAGTACTACTTTGCGCACGCTCGTAGGAAAAATAATTTGATGTATTTGCCAGAGTATTTTCGATGCTATAGGAATTTAAATACTCTTTAAAATATTTGAATGAAGTATTTGCCTTAGAAAAGTATTTAAATACGTACTTTCAGTCTTTATTGGGTATTTAATATTTATTTAAATACTTTTTAAAAACCTCTGTGTAGGTAAAATGCTGTTAAAATCAAAAAACAATGAGAGTCTCCCTTCACATTCCCAAAAAAAAACCCTAAAAATACCCTATTGCCTATTGCCTTTCAAGAGGGCGGATATAGACTCACACATAGAAGAATGCCCCCGCGAAGTTGATTTATTATAGTCAGGGTGCAGTAGGGAAGGAGGGTTTTAAAAATACCTGAAAGTGACCTTCACAGCCTTCAGGTTCTACTTAAATATGATGGCGGATTGTTCAGCTTGCAGCTCTGCTTGTGTATAGTGGGCATAAGTCCTATATATAAGAAATATGATTGGAACAGGTAGAATAAAATGAAGGTGTGCTGGAATACTATTGGCTCGCGCGAAGGAAAAATTTAAGATTTAAGGTGGAGTAATTCTTTAGGTTTCAGGTGACTTGTTTTTGGCGTTTGGCTTTATAATACCGATAAACCAATAACAAAAAAAAAAATCGGATACTTATCTATAGTATTTTTAATACCCATTTAGAATAACCCTATCCTTATTTATCAATCACGAAACAGATTAAACAAAAAATTACCAACAAAAACGAATGTCGATTGTTAATACGTCAATTTCATGTACAAATAGGAAATTCCTAACCCAATTTTGTTTGTGTGTTCAAGAAGCGACATACGTTTAGTCACTAGAACGACTGGTACTTCTAAATAGGTATTAAAAATCAGGGGCGTAGTCACCGGTTGTTTCGCGTGTTCCACGGAACACGGACCCGGTACAGGGTTATTGGTTATAAATGTCACCCCCCTCTATCTTTTTTATTTGACATTTTAGGAAAAAGTGTCCCAAATAAAAGTTTTATGGTTGAAATTAAATTTTTTGAAAAACTCACTTTCGCATATACAGGGTGTTTCAGAAAAGCTGGTCGTGCTCCAAATTTCTCATTTCAAATAGAATACCCTGTATATTAATGGATATTGGGATTCTACGTAAAATTCTGAGCAGATTTCATGTGATATACCCTATACCTAAATTCAACTGTTTTGGAAATATTGACACTTGAAAATTGACTTTTTTGCAACTTTGACAGGCTGTAAATCCTAAACGGTTAATTTTAGAGCAAAACCGATCTCACATTCTTATCTTAGATTTTTATAAACTATCAGCTGACACCAATATTTGACATCAATTTTGAATTTAATCCATGATTGAAAATTCCAATTAAATTTAATCTTCGGTTAAATTCAAAGTTGGTATCAAATGATAACTTGTGAAGATATTAGAAAAAAATGTAAGATCGGTTTTGCTCAAAAGTTAAACCGTTTAGGTTTTATAGCCTGTCAAATTTGCGAAAAAGTCAATTTTCAACTGTCAATATTTCCAAAACAGTTGAACTTAGGTATAGGTTATATCACATGAAATCTGCTCAGAATTTGATGTAGAATCCGAATATTGAATAATATATAGGGTATTCAATTTAAAATAAGAAAGTTGAAGCACTACCAGCTTTTTTGAAACACCCTGTATATGCAAAAGTGAGTTTTTCAAAAAAATTAATTTCAACCATACATTTTTTATTTGGGACACTTTTTTCTAAAATGTCAAACAAAAAAGATAGAGGGAGGTGACATTTATAACCAATAACCCTGTACCTCAAGGGACCCGGTTTTAGATGTCAATATTTTTTTTTTCCAAATAAGTTAAAAGAAAAATTAAACCTTTGAAGCTAATTTATATAAGAATAAAAAATAATACATAGGTATATTTATATCTACGTAGGTCAGTAAAGTCTTCATTTCTTACATTCTTAATTGTAGACTTATAATCATTTCTTTCATTCTTTGATTTCTTTTATGAAAACTTTTCGATTTTTCCGCTTGGCGCGTATCTTCAAAATTCATTAGTACGGCCGAATCACTCCATAGTATGCCAGGATTGCCAGTATGCCAACTCAAGATTCTGCAATCCCTGTAACATTATAATAAAAGGCCCGTATTCATAGTCGATGCTCAAGGTTGAGTTTTGGCTCAAGAACGACTTGACGCCATATTTGCGTTATATATACAGCACCGAACGATGCTCACAACTGTCAAAAATCGGAACTTGAGCCAAGCACTCGTCTATGAATACCAGGCTAAAGACCGGTTTCTCAATACTCACCTCCGGGTTGGTTTTAACTCCAGGGTAAGCGTGTGAAGTTGCAATGTTCACCCTGGAGTTATGCCTAACCCGGGGGAGACTTGCTATTGAAAACCCGGCCCTTAGGGTATTTCTGCCATAACATTCCACATGAAATATGTCTAGAATTTTCCGCAGAATCCGAAAATGTCTGTAGGTACGATTTAAAGAAATAAAGTTGATAACGGCACAGTTGTTCGTAGGACACCCTGTATAAAAAAATTGGTGTGAAAAAATCTCAAGCAAAAAAAACAAAATCGACGTGTCCGAGCGGTTTTTCCAAAACGCCTTCATTTATTTTATATTGAATATGTTCCATACTGGTACACCTTGTATATTTTAAAAAAATATACAGTATGTCCGTAAAGTAACGGATAAATTAATTTAAAATTCAAACTAATGTGACCCAAAATAGAGATATCACATGACACTTCAATTTTTTAAATGGAATGTCCTGTATATTTTGATGAATATCGATAGAGCGAGAATTCATCTCGATGCGCTCTATCGATATTCATCAATCAATATATACACGGCATTCCATTAAAAAATTTGGAGTGTCACGTGCTCTTTTTTGGATTACCTTGTATAAATACAAATTAAATTAGTTTGAAAACAGCGCCATTTAAAATTAAGATCGACGTGTCCGAGCGTTTCTCCAAAAAAAAAAAAGATGATATGAATTTTAAATGAATTTATCCGTTACTTCACGGACATACTGTATCATATTTCTCAGATTTTTCAAATTTTTTATCTGGCAGGAGTAGGGGCTCGGTAAAATTTTTGAACACGGGCCCGGAGCATCGTCACTACGCCACTGTTAAAAATTCTATACCATTGATACGTTTAATATACATGAAACTAATGTTGATGTGACTGCTCTGATTACGAAAACGGACGTCGCATTATTGTTTCTTTAAGGATCCCCCACACCAACGCGGTACCGCGGGAGCGGGAGCGGGAACGGGAACTACGCGATACCCGCGGGAAGCGGGAAGTTTTCGTCTATTCACACTAAAGCGATTTATCGGCGGCAATTAACGGATTTGTTTCGTGTTTTGTGATTGGAAAAAAGTCTATTGATATTGAAATGAACTTCTCATCCTCGTCCGACGAAGAAGAAGCCCTTCTTCTACTTGCTTTAGCGGAAGATGAGTAACGAGGGTAAGTAATAAGTATAGGTACTTAGTTTTTTTTGTTAAAAAATATTAAATACTAAATTTGGTAATAGTGTTTTGTAAAAAAATATGTACATAACTTGTAGGAAAAAAAGAAAGTGGGTTCATGATATTAATCTTGAACGAGAAGCTTATAGTAAATTTCACACGTTGATACCGCAGCTGCGAAAAGACCCAAAACGATTCTACATATACTTTAGAATGACACCTGAATGTTTTGATTAAATTTTAGATAGGATTAGAGGAGATATTCATAAAAATGATACAAATTTTCGACAGGCAAATAGTCCAGAAGAACGTCTTGCAGTAACACTAAGGTAAGAAAACAACAAAAATACTGAAAATAGGTAGATTTTATTTTTTACAAAAGTTAAGTACCTATTTTATGGGACATAGGACTGGAAAAAGTTTGCTGTTGAATGTGCTTCTGGAGAAAGTGTCATTATTGAATAGTCACTACTTTCCTCTGTTGATATTAAACGGCTATTGCCATACAGCGAGAAATTTGCTGCTGATGGTATTGAACTGGTTCCTTCTGGTGATTTCAAGGTCGTTAAATTGGTTAAATTGGTCAAAGGCTCTCTGTAGATGTTTTCCTGCAAAGTAAGTATGATGTGAGCAAAGCGATGATGGTGGTATATATGTGTCCCCGCCAGAATTTACCTGATTATTTGCTGCCAGTCCTTCAAGATGCAAACATTCTTGTTCTGTCATGATTGCAGCAATCTTCATTTTTGTTTGGGCTTGTCTTCTTGGTGAAAATGTTTGCAAGGTTTTTTTTTTTTGTTTTGCTAATAGTCAAGTACCGTTCCCACTGAAGTATCTTCTGAGGGACTCGACCTTTTGCATACTCTATTACTTCCGGCTTTTTTTCGAATAACTAACTGGTTTGGAAGTTGATGGTGTAGACAACAATGATGCTTTTACATGATATGTATTTTTTTCCTCATTGATATTTTCAAATGCTCTATATTCTTCGTTTGTTTGAGGCTGTTCAATAATATTTTCTGATTCGATTGCTAAATGACTAGAGTAATCAGATGTTTCTTGGGTTTCATTTATATTTTCACTTATAGTTTCATCAAGAGATTCATTGATATCAACAGGACCACTGACCAGTAATATTTGAATCTGTTTTAGCAAATGCCAAAAATGGTTTAAATGGTTCCATCAGTGAAGCCCATTGCCATTTGCTGTAGTTTTTCTTTGCACTTTGACCTGTTTTTGTTTTAATACATTTTAAATATTTCGCATACGAATCCCTCAAATTTTTCCATCTTTTCTTCACTTCCTCGCCTGAAATTGAAATAATGCAATTTATTTCAGATTTCTTGCCATTGGTGACAGTTATTATACAATCGGTCACAGTTTCCGCATTGGATTTTCAACCGTTAGTAAAATTGTTACTGAAGTCTGCAATACAATTAGCAAAAGATTACAAAATGAATTTATGCCAGAACCAACTGAGGAAATATGGAAAAAATCAGCTGAAGGATTTGAGACAAAGTGGCAATTTCCAAACTGTATCGGCAGTATAGACGGTAAACATATTACAATTAAATGCTCAGACAAGAGCGGATCAAATTATTTTTGTTACTTGAAAAAATTTTCCATCGTTCTTATGGCTATTGTTGGACCTGATTATAAATTTTTGTGCGTTGACATTGGAGGTTTTGGAAAAAATAGCGACAGTGGCATTTTTGAAGCATCCAATATGGGAAAGAAGTTTGAATAAGGACAAATGAAAATTCCGAATGACAAAAACTTGCCAAATCAAAATGAAACATGCCCTTACGTCTTGATAGGCGATGAAGCATTCGCCCTCAGAACATATTTAATGAGGCCTTATCCTTATAGACAATCCCGAACAGATCCACGTAAAGAAAATTATAATAAAAGGCTTTGTAGAGCAAGAAGGATGGTGGAAAATGCTTTTGGTATTTTGGCTCAGAAGTGGAGAATTTTTTACAGACCTATCGAAGTGTCAGTAGAAACTACAGTTTCGATTGTGAAAACTACATGTATTTTACATAATTATCTAATTACAAAAAAATGCGATGACCAATATTTTCAGTTTTTAGAACCACCAGAAACTACATTGGACGCATTTAGAAACATTGAAAACGACCCTAGAAGAGCCCCAAATTTAGCATTTGAAGTCCGTGAAAAGTTTGTCACTTTTTTTAATAATAATATTTAATTAAAATTTTTTATGTTAAGTAGATACCTACCTACTAAACTTTCTTCAATTATTATATTATTCAATTGAATTCCATACATAAAATTGAAAATAAAACTAAGTACCTAGCTTAATTATGTTTTATTAGTTTACTTACCACTTTCATTCAATTCGGCGCCAATTTGGTCCCATATTTTGTCCCTTTTCCTGATATTCTTGTAATCAGGATTGCCCAAATCATATAAAATTGGGTATTTTTTTACCAATTCGATTAATTTTTCAGTAAATAAGAACGACATTGCACTTGCACTGGTGTAATAATTTATCTTCCGATATGAATATATGGCGGGAACAACGCGGCTGCGGGAAAAACAGTGCAAGCCGCGTTACGAAAATAGAACGCTGCAGTCCCGCGTGTGTGAGCGGGATAGGACGCTTCAGTATGAATGCTTTCATATCCCGCCACATGTTTTAATCCCGCTGCGGTCCCGTTCCCGCTCCCGCGGTACCGCGTTGGTGTGTAGGATACTTTAGTGTCCAGGATTTTTGACATTGAAGTTCATTGACAAAATTGAAGAGAAATATTGCTAAGACATACGTTTAAAAAACCATAGCAATCTTTGATTGTTTTTTTTTGAAGACCCGATACCATATAGGTACCAATGTTTGGTGTCCAGGCATAATGTATTCTAAAACTTGCTTGCGGTTTCGTAATTCGTATAGATTTCACCGAACCCGCTCAATTGATCTAATTGTTTGAGAGAAGAATAATTTCTCTATCAAACACCGTAAAACAAATTAGCCTTCATAAATCTACTGTTAATGAATATTTGTCCAAAAGTTCAAGGGCAAATATCTCGAAAATGGGCCTTTTTAAAATTCCCTGCTGGAGAGAAGCGGTAATTTTCAGAGGAATCCTTCCCTTCTGTTACAAAATTATTCAACTACCTGAAGAAAGACAGGGAGGCTGGATGCATCTGGTTTGCACTGCTTTGCTCAGTGTGATCATATTACATATCTAATTATTAAATTGAAGAAGTAGCCCATATCTCAAAGTGGAGGTGAAAATTTAATTCCAAAATATAAACTTTTCAGTCTTCCTCTCCAAATACTTTTAAATTAAAGGAAATTTCTTTAAAACTTGGAAAGTTTACAATCATGACAATTATTAATAGTTATATTTGTATCTAGTGCGCGAAATGCTACTCTGGTGATCGAGAACTCATTTTTTTAACGAGGCGCAGCCGAGTTGAAAAAATAATCGAGATCACCAAAATATTTCGCGCACGAGTTGCAAACAATATTTTTTGGTTTCCCGTCAGGTGTCAGGTATTTGTTACCTGAGTGTGCGAACTAGGCATTTTGCACACTGAAAATCATTTCGCGCACGGCGTCATGGGAACATTAAAAAAAATCTACCTGGAAAACAAAGTGTCATTTCGCAAATTGTCACCAGTGTGCAAACATCATCTTTTTTTGACAGTTGTAGAAAATAGATATTTATTTTATTAGGAGTATAAGTAATACTTATGTGACGCGCATGGAAGTTTGAACGCCGAACGCAGCGAGGCGAATCAAATCCATGCAAGTCACATGAAGAATACTTATACTCCGAATGAAATACAATATTTTATTTTCAAACAATCTTTATTCGGAATAGTGCCGAATTTTTAATTTAAATGATGACATTCATATTTAGAAGGATCACCTTTATAAGCCCTCTGTGATAAGCACCTATACCTGATCAATGTACTAGAAACTAGATGATGGAAAAACATGTGTAAACGGCGTATAAATGTTATACTCCGGCGGAGTATAACACTTATACGCCGCTCAAGCTGGAAGTCATTGAAGTGACTCTTATACCTTGTCAAAATGATAATAAAAATTACTGTTATAAGACGTTTGAAAATAAAATTATTTTTTTATTAATTTACTTACTTACATTTTTTAGCTTATTTTTTGACTTTTTTTCCTCTATAAAATGCATGATCAGGCAGCCTAAATAATCCACCCCTGTAACATCTGAGCTAATTTGCCCCTGATGATGAGATTTTCTAATCTCGAAACATGCAGGGCTTTAATTTAATTTCTTAAAGTATTTGTGGAGGAAGAGTTTGAGTTTTTCTTTCGGAATTATATTAATTATTGCATTGCTAACAGCAAAATGAAATGATTCGAAATGCGGGGTTAACCGGAACAAACGCTGCTGCGGGACATATTTTTTTTCTTTAGAAAAGTCAGGTTCTCTACCGCATAAGCGGTTACGTGACCCGGCAAACACAACACAGACTTAAGGGCGGGTATTAGAAAACTATTTTGACAATTAACTAAAAGTTAACTCCTAGAATGACGTCGACGTCGCATGTCATAGTTAACTTCAAAATTCCGGAGCGGATGGGGTATCGGTTAAAGTTAACTTTGTAGGAAATTTTAGTTTTGGACAGTTATTCTGTCAATAATTTAGTATAGAAGATTTCATTATGAATGACTTTGGCAGAAAGTCGACAAAGAAAGTCACATAACCTATAAATAGCATTGTCAATGTTATTAATTTTTTTTTTTTGCAATTTTGGGCTTAAATTTAATAATTATGGCAGTTTTGGGAGAACGTGATATGTTTTATCGAGAGGCGATGAAGCGATGTGTGTTTGGTGATTGTAAAAGTGATAGTCGAACGAGTTCCATTAAATTAACGACCCCATTTGCCTCCATTGGAGTTTAAGGTATTACTATAGTCCAGGAGGTGGCGCCAAAAACATGCAAGAGTTTTCGCAAGGCGGATATTTTCAAAATAGGTCGTACTTTAGTGCTAGAATGCTAGTGTACAGTCAGCACTCACAGTTCCGGGACAGCTGGCTCTGGGACGCGGGCAAAGTTGTAATTTTAAGAAGCGTCTAAACTGTTTTCTCAAAGCTCAAAATTTATAGAAATTTTGCACATTATCTGTTTGAAGGTCACAGATAACGTATGTAAATCGTCAGACGTCTAGTTCGTTGCAAAAAGGGGGTCAGACGTCCTCAAAGTTCTTATTTTATGGCATTTTCTTCGGTGTCCTGTCAAAATATATTTTTGCAGGTATTTGACAAATATATTTGAAGAAAATGCCGTAAAATAAGAACTTTGAGGACGTCTGACCCCCTTTTTGCAACGAACTAGAAGTCTGACGATTTACATACGTTATCTGTGACCTTCAAACAGATAATGTGCAAAATTTCTATAAATTTTGAGCTTTGTGAAAACAGTTTTGATGCTTCTTAAAATTACAACTTTGCCCGCGTCCCAGAGCCAGCTGTCCCGGAACTGTGACTGCTGACTGTACACTAGCATTCTAGCACTAAAGTACGACCTATTTTGAAAATATCCGCCTTGCGAAAACTCTTGCATGTTTTTGACGCCAGCTCCCCAACTACTAGGTATAGTCCGACAAATACCATTTTAAAGTCACGTGATACTGGTGGCAAAAAACGTATGTCCATTGATTATGTCGTTGATATCACCTACAAAAAGCTACTGGTGGTTAATTACTATTGAATTTTAATATATGTGCCCACTAGCATTATACAAACGCGTTTCTGAAGTAGTATTGACCAATCAGAGGGCAATTTTAATACTTGCAATTGTTGCGAGACTCACTTTTGTTGCATGTGCTGTCTGTTGTAATACATTCTGAACTTAAACTGAGTACCCGTTTTCTATTTGCTTCTTTTCGAGTTGGAAAAAGGTTAATATAGTCAAAATTATTAGCTGTGTTTATTCGTTGTATTACTTTCGAAAATAACTTTGACAAACTAATTGATGGCAGTGACGGATTCTATTTCAGGTAAGAATATTATGAACAATAATTAGACAGCAATTTTTTTGTCAATTTTACTATCACCGCTGTTTGAGATGTATATTCAACAAGGATAGAGAAAAATCACGTGACTTTAAAAAGGTATTTATTGGACTATAGTACTATTTGTCATTTTAGAAATGGGATTTTTATAAAACTGACATTTTTAAAGCAAAAGCTAAAGTTAACTTGAATGTTACAAACAAAGTTAACTTTGAAACATGTTTATAATACCCGCCCTAATGGCATCGCATAAAAAGTATTGGTATCAGATAAAGTTAATATCAAGATAATGAACCAACGGCCGGCAGCTTGGCCGTCAGGATAGTTTACCATCAAGGGCAGATTGAGCTGGCTCTGTAAAATTTACGCAATACTGAAGAAGGCTGGGTGCGCACCATGATACCATAGGAAAACGCATTATTTGTTGAAATTTGTACACGTGGCGCCATCTGATAGATGTCATTGAGAATAACGCTGACTTTCGTACGATTTGCTGCTTAAATATGGCGGTAATCGTGTTTTGCAGATTATCGGATCGTTTACTTTAATATTCAAGCGTGTGAAAATAAGCCATGATTTTGCAAATGAGACCGTCTCTGTGTCTGCAAATACACTAAAATTATCAATGCGATTCTGATTAATATTGGAGCAACTTATTCAAGGTAAATACCGTACCTACAATTTTATTTTTGTGAATTTTTATTACAATTTGGTTCATGCGTCCTTTCAAATTTTGAAACTATTTATTATGGAAATACATATTTTCATTGTTTAAGATGTCAAAATATGCACGAAAAACCAATAAAAACAGATGTTTGAGAGTTGCGATGGCTCGAGCAAAAAAAAATAAATATTGGTTTTAATGCTCAAATGTGCGGCAAATCGGCTCCATGAGCTTTGCAGTGCTACTGACTCGCCCGAAGGGTATATCAGTGACTTTCGCGATCGTTAAATTATGGTTTTCGTGTTCGCGTTCGCAATAAATGTATTATGAACTTTGTATCACTTGTTTTTATTCCACCCTTTACATCATAGAGTTTGCTGTTGCGCACAATTGCCCGACCAGTGCCCACCATTAACCGCATAGGGTGGATAATCGTGCGCAGTGTCAGTTTTTATCTAATTTTGTCCCTAGGCTCAGAATATTTTCTTTATGATCTTTGGTTGATTTGGGCTGCAACCTAATATAACAAAGAAGAACATATCTATGCCAAATTTCAGAGCTCCATGAGCCATATTTTAAAAATTAACCTTTTTCTTTCGTAGGTGCGCACAATTCACCGATTCTCCCCTACGATAAAAAAAAATCCTGTTTCGACATCACATTGATTATTTCACTTACCGCACTAGAGCCATTTCCCGCACGCTCTTATGGCGATTTCCATTTGTCAGTGCGCACTGAGTGTATGCGCGTCTTTTTCTAAAAGCATGTAACACGTAAGGACAAGGATAAAATGGAAA